ATATATATATATAACTATAAAAAACAATTACAGTAAAACCAAAGAAAAGATTAATTAAAATACGTCGGGTATTCAGTCTTCGTTGATTAAAATGTGACGAATTAACGATAATTGAAAAAAATTTTAATTCTTTTCAATAATTTACGCGAACACGCAATTTACGCGAGGAGGCACTCGCACAAATATTCGATTATATATGAATTCTAATACGCTATCCATATTAATTGATAATAATTATAAAATATAATTGTGTGTGAAATTAATATTCAATGTACGTAACACATATACTTTGCATGTGTTCATCGGGAAGATTATGACACAAAATGGACGGTGTGTACCACGTGACTTTCGCAAACCAACGAACGGAATGTCGCAACTCTTAAGTATACGCCCTCTACAGCAGCTGAAGAAAGTTTGCAGACGGTGGCGGCAACAAGGCTACCAATAGGCATATAATGACTAGAACTAGTTAAAGATAATCATGAACGATATTCATACAAAAATATTTAAATAATGTATACGTATCAATGAAAATGAAAAATGGTTAAGCAAAGTGGGCAAGATAATACATTTAAACATTTTGTTAAAATGAGTTAGGTCTATTATAGATAAATTTAATATCATGAAGTAATATACGGTACAGTAAAATGAAGTACTGTACAATAATCCGTACATACAGTATACAGTATAGTTTTTAGGATTTAGTGCAAATCTATTATATTTTTAATACAATGAGTTTATTTTTGGCTTTTATGTTTAAAAATATTTAATTTGGCAAAACCTAGTGGTAGTTGGTTAGTCTTGCTCCAGACTCTGGAGGAAAAAATGCGCCCACCTTTTCCCCCATTTTTTAAATAGGCCTACATAATCAAAACCTGTACCTCATGAACAGCTCAAGAGTTTTTCATCAACTATGCTTTTTGCATCTAAGCAAAATCAGTTGTACAACATTTCACAATTGTTTCACTCCGGAGACCCTGGTTTAACAAATTAAAATATTATATAATTCTATATGGTCTTTTGTGTAGGAAAATGATAACGATGATGTTGATGATGATGATGACCTTGATGATGTTGATGATGATGATGACCTTGATGATGATAATAGCATTGCAATGATTATGATAATGATGATAACGATAATGATGATAATAATAAGAATGAGGTTGATAACGATGATTAGCCTATATGATGGTGATAATAGCACTGACAGCAACACTGCAGCTACAACAACAACAATAATAATAATAGTAATAAAAATAATAATAATAATAATAATAACAATAATAAATAATAATAATAATAATAATAATAATAATAGCATGGACCTGTTAACACTAATAGGTCCATCGTAATAGTAATAACAATATTATAAGGGCCTATAATATATAATAATTATTATCATAATTTTGCTAATGATGACGATGAAGATGATGATGATGATGATGATAAAACAGAAGGATATATAGATACCGACAAATATTTTCATATCTTTTTTCTTAAAATTTAAACCATAGGCCTACTTGTGATTAATAAATTTAAAATGGTCAGGATATTCGTGATTCATCTCGCAAATAAATGGTTTGTTAATTACCCTAACAACATTAATTTCGACCTAGTTAGGAATTTCAAGAATCTCTTGTTGGATATGGGAACTTGATTGGTCATTCCCACAATCCTCCAATATACAGTATAGTCATTGCTGATACGCTTGACTGAGTTTGGTAGAGCTCTGCTAAAAAGTGCACTTCTTTGGATACTTTTGGTAGTGGTGTGATTGCAGAACGATGGCGGTTGAAGGTGCTTTGTGGAATCATGGAAAACAAACCAGCCGCAAATCAGCCATCTTTGGTCTATTAAGTCTAATCCTTGCTGGTTTATTCACAAGGAGTATATCGCAGGATTTCGATGTTGAGACAGAAACGGGTATGGGTAAATGTTACAATTCTTTCGGTGAAGCTCAGAGATGTGTACCTCCGTTTGTGAATGCAGCATTTGAGCTGCCCGTCGAGGCCACAAACACTTGCGGACGCCCACCGGCTCGATATTGTCTTCAAACTGGAGTAACGGGCGTAACAAAATCCTGTCATATTTGCAATGCTACACATCCAACACAATCACACCCTCCAAAATATTTGACGGATTTTCACGACGAAGATGCTGTAACATGGTGGCAAAGTGAAACGATGTTGAAAGGGATACAGTACCCGAACTCTGTCAACCTCACTCTTAACTTAGGTAAGCAAGAGCAAGTAGTAAGGGACCAATCAAACAACAAAATGCCTAGGGGCCTAACTAAGCCCTAGTTCATTTCGAATTGTCATCCTTTATACACATGTCACAATTATTATAGTGTTTATTTGTTTATTGATCATAAGTGTACTGTATAAACCCAGGCCAAACCCAGGCCCTACCTAGCTAGGCCTACAGAAAAAAGTCTGTGGCTATGTACGTAGGCCTACTTACAGCATTCAATGTGGTATTAATGTAGGATGTGTTGGATGAGTTATTTGGCGAAGTGAATTAAGAGACATTCTTAATGGGGGGTGGGGACGTTTATTCAAAGCGAGTGTTTATTTGAATAAATGCGGTATTTACAGTTTGGGGGTAATAGTATTCATGTAATATAACAAATTTAACTTTATACAAAAATGTAGTAGCAACGCATATATACTGTCTGAATACAGTAACCAATTAGGAATTTCTAGTTTTTCAGTAAAAATAGGCCATAAAAGAAGAGCTGACAAAAGAATGGTGCTTATGTGTTAGAGATTACTGTATGATTGCTTCTGTGCCTGTAATTTTGTAAGGTCGCATCTTCACACAAACAAGATTAATGGGCCTGTTCGGACAGAGGGACGAGTAAAGTTTTACCAGGTACTTCCAACGTGTGGCAATTAAATTTTGCCTCTAGCCATAAAAAATTTGAAAAACATCTGTCCCAAAAACCCATATTTTTTAGGGCCTGTTTCTACTCGAAAGAAATAATCGATTAAAAATCGCTTTTTATTCTCGCAGTAGAAACGGGACCAGTTTGAAAAAAGTGATTAAAAACACACAATGGATAGCGTGTTTGAACGGCAAATAACTGATTTTGGCTGTGCACCTTTTAGCTGCAACACAAAAAAGCGATTATCAGGTGAAATGTGACCTCCAGGTCAATCACTGCAAAGACTAGATCGTATTAGGTGCGAACATTAAAAAAAAATTGTCCTCTTGTTCATGTCCTAGGCCTACAAGCTAAAAACGTTAACAAAGAAGTGAAGTGACGAATTCGTTTTTATTTTCGTAATTATTTTGTGGGGGATATTGGGCCTAGGCCTCTCCGCTCTTTTCGGCCTACCATTGTCCTCGTTTGGTCGCTTGTTCATTGTGCCGATGAGCACAGCCGAAAATATTTGCCTTCTCGCCCCACACTGTATCTTACTCCTCGTCATCATGACAGGAATGAGAAAGATACTATCCTATACAGTTAGGAAAATAATGTGTTGTATGAACAAAATGGTGGCGTAATTTCTGTCACGAAAAACCGATTTTCAAAAAATCAAAAATTCAGTGGCAACGCGAGCAGGCAGTCTGGTACTCATTAAAAAAAGCAGTTTAAAAAAATCGATTATTTAGTGTTTATCAGTAGAAACACACCCTTAGTAGATATTTCAATTACATGCTGCCCCTAGGCGTAATGTATCACATGTAACAAGGCCCATGTCACAAGTTGACCTTTAGATTTGTATACAACCGGGCCAGAGTAAAATTCATCGTTCAATCCCGTTCCCATTTTCTCATAATACTTTACTTAAATAATATTTAAAAGCATTAAAAAAGTTTGACGGTAAGAACTTTAGCAAAAGACGAGAAAATGACTTTAAACTTACAACAAGAAAATGTTCTTTACGGTAGGCTAGTGAGCGAGTGACATTTTTACATACGTCACTGTATTCGTTCAAATGTTGTATTTCTAATTTGTAGTTCATTATTTGTTAAGTGGGTATTACTGCTTTAAAAAACTTAAAAATTATAATTAGATGTAATTTGTATTTCAATAACAGAAAAATAATTTTATACCTACTTTTAAATTAGTTTTGTTACAACAACTGTACGTGTTGTTTTATAGTCAACAACAACATGGCATCGTCTTGCAGCGGACATGTGCCGAATATAATAAAGTTTTGTTATCACGGTAAAGAAATCACTTGAAGCTCCAAATGAAGTTAGAAAGGCTAGATTATGTATAGTTTTAAACAGAAACAACAAAAATATTGCTAAAAACTTGTGTCTGACCTTCGTTAAAGGAAAGACATACGAGAAGTTACTGGTTTTACCGGTTCTTATTCTACTCACCCAAACGGCCATCGGAATTAGCCCCAAGGCTCTTATTAGATTACACATGTATTTGAGTTTACGTCCAAACATGGACAATCACATTTTGCATATAATTCCCAAATATTGGTGTGTTGGTTTTTTTGTTTTAATTGAATTATTACCATTATAATGAAAGTGATTATTACCAAATGATAAATCTGATTTATTTTTACCTCCAAGTGTATCATCATATATTTTTATACTGTAACACTAACATTTTAATATTCCAGGGTTCCAAAAAAAATATTATGTTGACGTAACCCGACTGACCCTAAAAAATTGGTCGACCCTAGACATCTGTATTTAAATTTCGCGATACAAATTTACGTGAGCAAAGTTGGCGTGGTCTTGCGTCACTCAAAATGTTTCAAGAAGAGTCCATGTGACAATTATGGGCTTTAAAAGGCTTTATTTAATTAATTTTATAGATTTCAAGGCATTGCTAAATATTAAGATACCGGTAGGTAATTTCGGAAGGGATTTGTGCTTGCTTGTTGGATTTATTTCTGGGAGACTCTGTGACTTTGGACACCTGTAATTCTCATTTTTGAAAGATTGTTAATAATAATAATGATTTAATATAACAATAATTCTGTTGTATATAGTTTGTAGAACTACTAAATATATTATTAATGTAAAAAGTAATTCAAAATTAATGTTGAGCATTTTATCGTCCATGTTGTTCATGCTTGACCCATTGTCTATATTAGAACACTTCTCATTGGGTAACAAAGTCGTAATTTTTCATTTCTGTCAAAAAGTGTCTATAGTGGTGAATTATGGTTTAGGTTTTTTTTAATGAAGTTTCAAAAATTTGTATGTACAGTATGTGGAAAGTGTAGTTGATTACCAAAGGTTACAATTTTTATTTTGAAGACTGCATGGTCTAGGAAGTATACATTTTTTTATGGGGCAAGTTTCCAAGGGCGGGTTTTCTAAGGGCGAGTTGACTGCCAAAGAGTGTTGCCAAAGTGCGAGCCAGCGTGTTATTTGATCATAAATGCGAGCCATGACGTCACGACAATAGATACGAGACGTTAACCAGTTGTGCGAGGTATCGGCTGAGATTTGTGGAGTACAATTCAAAAAACAAGTATAGGTCTAATAATGAATTATTGTGATGTTAAATAGACAATGTTAGCTATCAAGGAGCGACGTTGTTTTTCGTCTTCGTCCCTTCAAGGCTAGGCCTATACCATCCTAGCTAGTCTAGGCCTAGGCTAGCGCGACATGCGGACGTTGGTACGTGTTGGTTAGTCTACAAACGTCGCCTAAAATAACTGATTTTACCCGGCTGAACGAAAGAAGAAAACTCCGCTTTTTAGTCGTCTTAGGTCTTTATTTTTTGACAAACAAATTGCTGTCAAGAAGTCAAGAGGTCAAATTGCTGTCAAGAATATGAATTGGCTGCTTCGCAGCAATTAATATTCTTATGATAACCTCAAGAATACAAGGTCACAGTATACGTTTAGTCTAAAGTGTACGATAAACACAAGTAATCTGTGACTAACTTTTAAAAATTGTTCTTTATTCAGAACAAGCTTTTGCTGGCAGTTGATGTTATCTTCGTCAGTTGCTGAAGTAGAAAATTAAAACTAAATTAAAACCATAAATTTATATCAGAGCATGGAGGAATTAGTTTTGATCAGAGTAAGTCTTGCTGCACAATAAGTATTAAGATTGGGTGTCAACGATTCCTTTGTTTAGCTGATGTTGTTAATTGTATGGAAGTTATTAATTTATATGAAGTCTGTTATTTTGGTGTGATCAAATTACAGATGATTAATGATTGTGCATTTAGATTGGATTAGTCTTTAGTGATAAATGACCCATATTCACCTAGTGCTATTATTCTAAATGCATTTAATAGTTGAGCTTGTCAAAGGAACAGGTGCTTAATGTTTTCTTATTTTGATGTCTACATACAGTAATTCACAATGTTTGAGTAAATTTGACTCACTATTAAAGAATGATGTTTATCCACAGTATACATTATGAATAGCCAATTTTCATAGGCCTAAGCTCTACCTAGAATGTAAAATATCAGTAACATACTGTATTTATTCAAATAAACGCTTGGGGCGGGTATTGTTGAGGATTTTTGAAAGGGCATTTATTCAAGAGGCATTTATTCAGGGAGACATTTTTTTTTTGGCTGTAAAATGGATGCATACACTCAAATTAAGCTTCCTTAATTTCACTTTGAATGTTTAACTACTGCTGTAGTGAGTGATGATCTGGAGATCAAAAATAAAAAGACCGAGTGAGAAGCGTATTTTGGTTGGATAATATATCTGAAACGTGTTAAATTTATTTACTAAATGACAATGTTTACAGTATTCTTGCTAATCAGGCCCAACAGTCACCACACTCGTGTACTGTGTTCCACGCCACATAACACCACATTCTACGCATGGTGATTTTATATTTCTAGGTCCTCTACCACGCGACAATAATGAAGTTACCATGCCACTGTGTACGCATGGGGAAAGTTGCAGCAGTAATTGTGGGCTGTGCTGTACAACCGCGCTGCTGTACAATATGTGTTATTGTTTGAACATAGCCTAAAGGTTATTGATGCCATCTTAACTAGGTTTAATGACCAAAAATGTATTCTACTATAGTAGAATTTAGTGTGTTGAGAATGAATGATGTTGCTTCCATTAGTTTTCTTTACATTTATTTAGAAGCCCGGGGGGTTTATTAGAGGAACAAATAACGCCCGGGGCGTTTATTCGAGGGAGGCTTTTATTCCAAATGAGGCTCTGAAGGTGGTGTTTATTAGATGGGGCAGTTTATTCAAGGGGGCGTTTGTTCACAGCAAGGGGTTTATTCGAATATATATGGTAATTGTATTTAAACCCTTTTAAAAACAT